AAGGTGGTTCTTCGTCTTCTTGTATCCCTGCCGATGCTGTTGCTCCGACGGCGTCGTATGCCCCTTTGTTTGCCATAATATAGTGGTCTTGTGAATGACTTAAATTTGCTTGTTCTGCTACTCTCCTTTCGTTCTCTTCCCTCAACTCTGCCTCTCTGTCAAAGGACATCTCAAAGTCGCTGATGGCGTCGTCCCTCAAGTCGGTCATATCTTCAAAGTCAAGGTTGGGTGTTTCTTCTTCCTTCCTTGCGGTCGCTTCCTCTGCCATCTTTTTGAAGTTCATTTGCTGTAAGTCTGCTGGGTGGATGTTGTTTGTGTTCAGTGCTTGACCCTGCGGACTTTCGTGAAAATACCAAGCGTTCCTATCAAAGATTTTTCTGATGTCATTGGTTTTGAACTTTTCCCTGTCGATTTCCTTGATGAGTTCTGCGTAAGTGGGTATTCGTGTCAATCCCTGTTTTGCGTTGATTACTTCTGCTGTCATTGCTATATATTAATACTTTAGATTTTTATATTAATCTTGTGTATCGCCTCTCAACCACTGCTTATACTCATCAATTCTCTGTTTCATATTCTGGACGTTCGCCCCGTAATCTTCCAATCTGTGATTTTTCCTCACCTCCCTCAACCTTGTCATTTCGTTCTGTAGCATCTCATTCTCTTCCTTCATCCTCTGCTTTACTTGTAAGACCTTGTAGTCGTGCTCGGTGTTGTGATATTCAAGAAGACGCTTTAGGTAAAGATGATGGTTGTGAGTTGGCATCCTTGCCGTGTTGCTGTCGTTGTGGTAGTAGTGGTCATAACTACTATACACTTTTTTTCTTCTGTCTGGCATTTCGGGCGTTCCGCTCCTGTAGTTGGCACTTTTGTTTGAATGGACGGTTTGTCTTCTGTTGATGTCCTTGCGGACGTTTTCGTAGATGTCAGTTTTGTTGAGTTCCGTTTTCTGTTCCTTGATGTTCATTTTTATATATAATACTTTATAAAATTTTTGATGCTAAAGATTTCAATTTCTCTCTCGTCGCTTTGTTCTTTTCCTCTTTGGCTTTGTTGTAGGTGTCTCTGGCGGTCATTGCACTCTGTAGTTCTTCCTTCAGTTGCTTTACAAGGTCGTTTTTGAATGCTTCTGGGTCAAAAGGTGGTTTCGCCCTTGACGGTCTTACCCTTTTGGGCTTTGGCGCTGGTTGCGGTTTCTTTTCAACGGGTGGTTCAATTGTTTCTTCTGGTTTCTCCTCTTCTTTCGGTGCTTCCCGATAGGAAGCAGGGCTTTGCCGTGCTTCTTCCTGTATTGGTTCTGGTATTGTTTCTTCCTTGGGTTCTTCATTATCAATCTCTTTTACGACTACCTCTGTCATATATTAATATTATAGATAATTTTTTATACTTTCAAAATCTCGTGCCTCAAATACGGTTTGTTCAATCCTTCCAGTTTGAAGGTTCTGTTTCCGACATCATCGTATTCTATCTTGACAATTTTGTAGGATTGATTGCTCCATTTTGAGTTATACTCCTTCCTCTCGGTGTAGTTGTCTTTTTTCTTCTCAAAGACCTTGACCATATCATTCACTTTGACCTCTGGATATTTGCGAGTGTTCTTTTCCCTCCTTGTCAAATTCACCCTGACGTCCATATGGTTCTTGTCGTCGTGGGCATCCTTGGGTTTCATTTTGGTGGATGAATGGACGGTGTCGTTGTATTTATCTAACGCTTTGGACAACATTACAGTCCAACTACCGCGATTAAACCTCACCCTGTCGTGTATCATATTCTTCATTGTCCTTATGAAACGCTCCACAACATTGGCGTGAGTTAGGGTGACGACGTGAGTGATGCCTTCTTTCTCAAAGAACTCTTTTACCCCTGCTTGGAAGGCACGGTCATTATCACTATAAACGGACATTGGAAAACCCATTTTGTTGAAACTCTCTTTCATCGCCGACAATGTGATTGGTCCGGATTTTTCTTTCATAGGGACGACGTTTGCCAACTTGCTGAAGATGTCAATGACCACCAACCCATATCTCGGTTCATCGTTCTTGATGGGAATTTTCGTCTCTGGTTCTTTGGTAAGGGGTTTCATATCCATTATGTCAATCTGATATTCAAACCTTGCGAAGGGTGCGGTGTAGGAGTTTGACCCCCTGTATTTTCTAATCTGTTTGTTGGGCTGTTTCCTCATAAAGTTTTCCACATCCACCCTGTTGATGGTCTGGTCTTGCTCCTTGGCTTTCTTAAGGGTCTCATTGATTGAACCGAAGCCCGTTTCAAGATTATAATAGACATTGCTTATGATGTCATCTCTTGATAGTCTCCTTGCCATATATTATAATATTAGATTTTTAAAATTATAAACAATAAAAAATATACTTAAAGAAAAAATACCTATATATAGTAAGACTAAATAAGATGACTAAATTTGACTGTGGATGTCGTATAATGACAGATGTTATAACCCTGAACGATAGAAACCAACCTAATTGGAACTACTTGCTCAAAACCTTCGTGAATGTGTGTGGCAAGTGCTACAAGAAGCAAATGAAATTCCAATATATGGAAAACAAACTTATGGAAATGGAAAAGCAAAGAATGGAAATGTTTTTGGAAAATGAGGATGAGGAGGAAGACACATACTTTGACCTGACAGAGTTGAAGGAACATCTCAAAACCCTCCCACCCAATGAAAGACATAAAGTGAAGGATTTTGAGAGGTTAAGAAACCTCGCCAATGGACAAGACCCCAACGAAGGAATGAGTGAAATAGATATGGTCATAAGAGAACTGGAAGAGGAGGAAAGGGAAAATAAAAACCAACCCGAGCCCGAAAACTGAACGAGCCCCCCAAAAACTACTTAAAGAAAAATTACCTATATATAGTAAGAGGATGCTATTTACCTATAAAAACTGTGGATGTTGTAAAAAAAAATGACTGACATTAAGGTTTTATTGAACAACATTTTTCCTGCTGGAATTTGTGATGAGATATGTGATTACAACCTTCACTGTTCAAAATGTAAAGAGTTGAATGATAAGGAACGCAGATATATAACATTCAACTATCATTTTGACCATTTTGAAGAGAAAGAACTAACAAGAGTTGAAAAACAAATACATTTCTTTAAAACAAGGATGGAAAAATCACCTATCTATTTATCCAACACCGACCGAACAAATTTAAGAGTAATGAAGAGAGAAATAGATGCTTTATTGGACACCTATAAACTGAAGGTAGAATTTCAAAAGGATAAGATATATCTTCAAGCGATTAAGTCTTATGTCAAAAACCATTGGAAATACACTTATCATATTCTAAAGAACTTTCACGACCTTAATTTCATCAATTACAGTAAGCAACGAAGATGCTGGTGGTTTCCTAATGTTGAACGAACTTTTATGTTTAGAAACAGGGAGTTCAAGATAAAAGACATTTTGGAAATTTTCTTGCGTGAATATGTTGAAGAACTGTTCAACGGTTATGAGAAATATTTGAACATAGAAGAAATAAAAGAACACCTACAAAAAGTGATAAATACTTAAAGGAAAAAATATCTATATATAGTAAGAGAAAATGAGTAGAGCAAAAATTGAGGTTATAGATACAGGGAATATTGGTATATATGCTGACTTTGGTAGTGATAGTGAGGACGATGATTGGGAAAGAAAACAAATAGAAAAAGAAGATGAAGAGATTAGAGACTTTGTAAAGTGCCATCCTATGCCTTCACCAGATGATGAGGAAGGAGAAAAGTTTTGGAAGAAAGTAATTGATAGGATGAAAGAAGCAGAAGGAGTAAATGGAATGATAATATATTCATTCGTAAGATTTGATATAATGAAAAAGATGTATGAAAACCTCACTGATAAAAAAGTCATCATTGATTGTGGAAAGGAACTCAACCGAGATGGAGAATTCAACGCTATGATTATCAACCTAACGCTTTTATCAATAGCAATGGATGAACTAAATGATACAAACAAACCTTGCTTAACACAAATGAGAGTGATTGAACACTGGTGGGATGGAATAGGAAAGTGGAAAGCATAAATGATTAATTCATAATATCTTAACAACACATATTATGAAGTAATCACCCACCCAAACACAAACAAAAACCCCAACAGCCTAAACAAATCCTACCCCCCTTCAATCCAAACATTGACACATCACTTTAGCAACAAAATTACCCCCAAAACCCCACCTGAAAAAACATCAAAGGCGAAGATGAAACATTGAACCCCAACACAAAATCATAACAAGCAACATACAAACATATACGCCCTGAAGCCCCCATTTTTCCATTTTTTTCCCTAAGTCTTCCATTGGTATACATAATATCATGTGATGTTCGCAATTTGAATGCATTTTAAGGGGGAATTTGAATTATAGAAAATATGTGTCTAAAGATCTGGTATATGCCCCTAAAGCCTGTTGATATACATAATAATATCATGTATACGGGTATGTACATATGCGGGATGTTTCCTTTTGCCAAACCACCAATTGGGTTGATACTACATACTTGCATTTGCATACATATTTCCATAACCCCAAAAAAAACGGGTTTGAATTGTGGATCCATGACATGTCCAACAGGTGGAACCCCAAACATTAACTATGGAAACAATAATTATGGAAAAACCGGTCAATCTGCCCTAACCCCCTGATTTCACAGGAAAAATCAATTATGGAAATAATGGCCACCTCCAAGAATTATGGAAAAAAAAGGTTCGGATCACTTCCGGGATATTTTGAACCCTTATGGGCCTTATGGGGAAAAATCCAATTATGGAAAAATCGGACGCAGGCGCCGCCTGTCTAAGTTGAACGTTTTTTTTTTCCCATAATTCTGTCGGTTACCATAGTCAGATGGCTACTAGGCGGCTGAATGTGGTGCCCCAAAACTGTGCGTAGGCAAGAGCATGACGCAAAATCAACAACATATTTCAACGACCACGTTCGTCGTGGAGAAAAAGTTCCACAGCAATGAGTCTGAGTGGAGGGAATGCACCATATTTGGACACACCAACGTCTGGGGCTGCACGTCTTCAAGGGAAGCAAACAGGTTTGGGCTGATTTTGGGGTGGTTTTTCCTGATATTTTGAGGGTCCCCAAACAGCGGGATGCCTTCCTTGTGGTCGGTGCTCGGCCAGGTACCACTCCTCTCAGGCCAAAGAACGCTGGGAGCTTGCAGAACGCTCCTGGGCAGCATGAAGTAGCTGAATTTCCTGAGGGATCAGCAAAAACATACATATTGGATTACACCGGATTATATCATATGATCAAAGGCATCATTTTTTTTCATCAGATCAAATCGCAGATGAATCATCAGATCAAATCAGGATGAATATGGATCAATCAAAAATCTTGGAACCAATGGAAGGCCCAAAAATCAGCATCACCAAGACGTCTTCCTTTCCTCGAGGCTTTCTGCACGATCGCATGCTCCAGAAGGGGCCCACCCTGGTCTTGACCACCTCCTCGGTGTTGGGCAACAAGGACACCCGACTCCGCTTTACATATTGATATAACATGATATAACATGATATAACTTATAAAAGTGGAGATATGAAAATTTCGATGCGGAACTTTTTGGTGGAATCCATTGCACTCCATTTATGATTTTTATTTTTGAAAGATTTGTCCAAGATATCTCCTAAATATTGCGGATGGTTCTTGTATGTTGTTGTGACCGGCACGATATTTGGGGGTGCGGCAGCCAGCAGCCGCTGTTCGTTTTTTCAGGAGGATCGGGCTGTCTTTTTCAGGAACGTGCGGTTCGAGTGCATTCTGTGCGACGAGGTGCCGAAAGTCGTTGATCACTGGTTTTTCAACAGGGATGATGAATGTGTGCATGAGGTTGGATGATACTTATTATTCATTATATACAGTATATATATATATAGTATATATATATATAATATAATATATATAGTATATATATGTATACTATATATATATATAATATATATATATAGTATATATATATATACTATATATATATATATTATACACATAATATAGTGGAGATCTGGCGACCTTCCAAATCTTTCAAAAAATGCAGGTGCATGCAGGTGCATTCGGTGAATTTGGTGATGATTGCCAATCAAGGGCTGTGACTTTACCCAGCCCTTGAGGCCCATGGCATGAGGAATGCAGAAACTATTGCCTTCAAGCATGTGGACAGGAGTCTTGGCGCCGCTGTGCTGGTAGTTCTGGGAAGAAGACAAGAAAGCCTTGTATCTATAAGTTAGAGTATGTTTGTGAGGTAGGGATCTTAGCACATCTTAGCATTCAATGCTTCACCTGACTTGATTGGTATGACTTAAAGGATGACGTTTGGCAACGGTAGCTTCATACGGTGCTGGCCGGCTGATCAGGATCCCGGTGAAGCGAAGAGTGCTGATGACTGGAACTCCCGTGCACAACAATCTCCAGGACATTCCAGGTCCATTGTGTCCATGGATGTTTTGTTGTTTAGATCCAATATGTTAGTTGAACTCATTCGATATATCGTGATGTATGCACTCAGAGAAACTTTAGGACCTTTAGGAAGGTTACAGTTTTCCCCAGATCTTACTTCAAGTATAAGAAGAGTTGTCTGTGAGCATTTTGGAGCTTTGGTGCTGATGCCGCTGCAGGGTACCGCTGCTGCAGGGTGCTGCTGCAGGGTGCCGCTGCAGGGCCTGCAGGGTGCTGCTGTCAAAGTGCTGTGTGCGCTTTACGGCCTGGGCCTAGAAAAAGCATTTGGGTGCTGCTCACGAACATTTTTTGGCTATTTGTGGTCTGAGCTGGAGTAACTAAGGGGGCATTCTATTTTCAGTATCATATCATCAGATCCGCTCATGTCCTTCTCCAGCAGCGCAGGAGTTGGGAAACTTGCTGAAGCTTGTGCTGCAGGTGAACAGCCAGAGCGCTTCTTCGAGGATGGTGCGCTTCCAAGTTTTGTCGATTTTTTTTGGGGTTCTGAACTGGGGGCTGCAATCAAAACTCAGAGACGCGTAAGGGGTAGAACTGGTTGGATGGCAGTGACTGGTGAATTGGAGCTCTTCAACTTCATGGTTTGATGGTTGCTGGCAAGCATCTCATTTCTTTTCCATGAGCTAGCAAAACATATTGAGCGATTTCAGCAGGATAAAGAACATCTATCAACCCAGCTGTAATGAGTGATTTGCATTTCATTTGTAGTATCAAACAGATTGGCTTTCATCGCCCTCTTCACCATCTTCGATCGCGAGTTGCTGTGAGGTCAGAGTTGCCCGCGAGTTGGATGGCATCGTGGAACGGCAGTCCTTGAGGACGCTGCAAGTCAGGGCAGCCCCTTTCATGATGAGGAGGTGCCCGGCCAAGTTTCAGTCATGAAGGCCCAAGCTCTCAGTTGATGTGCAAACCGCTGTATTTTGAGGTGTTAAGTCAGGCTTTTCGGGGGAGAGGGCAAAATCAACTGAATTCTTGGGGTGCACTACTGTGCTTTTCTGGACGTTGGCCCGGGAGGCTGAAGAAGGATGTCATGAATGACCTCCCAGAAAAGACCCTTGGCATCCCTTGGCTCAAAGCTCATATGTGGTACTCAGCCTTGCTGCATGCTGGCAAGTTGTTAAGCCCTTTGCAAAGTTGCAACCTGACGAAAGATGTTCCATGGCCACAATGATTTGCACGAACATTTTTTTAATGGGGTAGCAAGGATGAAGATAGGAGCAATCTCAAAGCGCATCAGATCATGCGGAGACAGTGCTTCCAACTCTCAATCATCCTTGTCATATAGAAATCGGAGCTGAATCCAGGACCTCTAAATATCCCTACAACATCAGGAATTTGGAGCTGCAATAAAGATCCAACAACAAAAACATGGGTAGACAATGGTAGATAGTGGATTGATCACGGTAGATATCGATCAAACCATTCTACCAACATCAATCCACTATCAATCCATTATCAATTCCTTATCAATCCATTATTATCAATCCATTATCAACCCATTATCAAGCAATGATCTATCGGGGAATTCCTTTCACTTTGATCCAGGGAGTCCTTTTTTTTTGTCAATTTTTGCCTGAGGATTTGCAAAGCTCAGAGGTGTCCATTGACCCCTGAGCAACGGAAGCAGTACGATGCGGAGCTGCAAAAGGTGGGGTAAAGCGCTACTGGGTACAGTACTGGGATAAGATATGGCTTGAAAAATGGTATATTAACGGAAATTTTATAACATTTTATAACCATTTTGTAATACAATAATAGATATGATTCATGATATGTCATATTCATTCTCTCTCTCTCTATATCTATATAAACTGTGTGTATATATATATATATAAAATAGACACACACACATACATACATACATGCATACATGCATGCATACATACATACATACATACATACATACATACCTTCCTACCTACCTACCTACCTTCCTACCTACCTACCTACATTCATACATACATACATACATACACACATACACACATACACACATACACACATACACACATACACACACATACACACACGTACGTACACGTACGTACACGTACATACACGTACATACACGTACATACACGTACATTGCATTACATTGCATTGCATCGCATCGTAATATGAAATACATGTTTCCGACAATGGTCAGTTTCGCGGGACTCATTCTGATACATTCTCATAACCCGTTGGATTTCGGGGCACCTCATTTTCAGACTATATGTTTGGTGATTTATTCTCCGGTTGGAGGCGAAAGCCTCCACCAAAATGAAGAAAACGCAAGCACGTGGCGTGGCAACAGACCCCGTTGGCGGGCTGTTGGTGCTCAGCGGGGCAAGATTTGGCAGCAAGAGAATGGCTCAAGATTTTCGAAAGGATGAGTGAAAACCATTCAAGACCTACAACGTCCATTTACCAAATTTACCAGCTATTTTGGGGTGAAAACGAGGTGCCATTTTGTTTGACCCACCCCGAATCATCAGCACCCACGGATCTCCCACATCTGCTCTCCAGATTTTCAGTTCTTTAAACATCTTTAAACTCTTTGGGTGGGAAGGGAGTTTGGGGTTTGAATTCTGTTCTTGTGGGGCACCGTGGGTTGGGTTGGAGTTGACAGCCCTTATCCATCCTTATCCTATTATCCTCTTATCCTAGACTTTCTGATGGGGCAAATGGTTGGTGTTCTTTGCTAGCTACCGGCGGCGTTCATTCGAACAGTGCCTTGCGGACTTCCTCTTTAATTCTTGCAAAACAACTTTGTATTTCCATCCTTACATGGATAATGAATGATAATGATCCCTAATCACAATTTTCATTCGGGTGGATTGGCACCACCAATCAATTTTGTACAGTTTTTTTTTGTCTTTCGCTGGTCAGAGGCAAGTATTTGAAGAACTTGTTCTCCCGACTTCGGAGGCTATGCAGCATGGCCTTTCTCGTGGGAGGGAGCTGTTGATTGACAAATGAGAGTGTTCAAAACCTTGTTTGGTTGATGATTATAGATGATTATAGATGATTGTAGAACTATAGGGGTTTATAGTACCACAGTCCATTATGGGAAATATGGGAATCCCTCTTAACCAATATAGTTGACACACTGAAACTTCGGGGCTTAGGCCGTGCTATGCCCCTCCAGGACCTTGCTGTTCGGTGTAAAAATAGCTGGGGGTTGAGGATAATCCAGTGTACTCCATAATCCATCATAATCCATTCTCCATTCCATATGTATATACGTATATAATACCATTCTATATCTATATAGAATAATTATCATTGTATATATCTATAGAATATCATTGTATATATCTATATAATATAATTGTATATATATATATAGATCGTGACATTTCCATTCCAACCCCCACCTTCAAAACCCAAGAAATGACCTGTTTTTTACCCCAGCCGCGTCCCATTGGTGGCTGAGGTAACCATCCCCTGCTGTGTCAAACGCGCTTCGTGGAGGACGACTACGGCGTCATTGCGGACGCCCTACGCCTGGTGCGCTCCGACTTCGCCAGCGCCACGCGGGAGAAGTGCGTGGCCTTCATCAGGGAGATGGATGACTATGAGTTGGTTTCGCAGGTGGAGCTGGGGATGGGTCAAGTTACCTATTATTATATATTATATATTATATATTATATATTATATATTATATATTATATATTATATGTTATATATTATATATTATATATTATATATTATTATTATTATTATTATTTTTTGTGTTATTGATTATTACTGATTATTACTATTATTACCGTATGACTGGGGAAATCGCCATCCATTCATCAGCTATGACTTAGGGTAACTAGGGTACAAGTTGGAGCCAACTGAGCTATGAAAAATGAAGCCAACTGTTGATTTGGGCATTCGGAATGATACTTGGAGAATTGGGAACTGATCATCCATAAATGGAGGAAATTCTAGCCATGTTTGATCCAACTGTCTGAGCTATTACACATAGCGTGCTTGGTTTGTTATGGGAATTGGGGGGGATTGTTATGATCCATAATGGGGAAAGCTACCAACCAAGTAGTATAATGAGATGGGATAGGGGTATGTTTTAATGGCTCAGCTGTAATCAAACGTGGCAATTGAGAATCTCCAATTGATAGGCGATTTTCCCATGAAAGTTTTATTGATAGGGAATTCCAAGTGCCATGTTTAATTACCTGAGGGTATACCCAACTGTTGATTCGCTAGTTGATATATTTGGGGGACTACTGTATAATTTACAGTATTAATTTGATATCTATCAAGAGAATCGAGAGATTTGTTACCCTTCCACGGGGGGTGATATCCACTGCGAATAGATTTCCCAAGGCTTTGTCATGGGAAAATGATGATCAAACATGATGAGCAGCTGTGTGGATTGGTCATGAGTTGTAGGGGGTTAGTAACCTACTTGTTATTCCTTGGGGATGATCATTATAGTTGGCTTGATGGGGTTTGGTATCCACTAGGGATCTATGGAATCCCCAAGGAAACATCGGAAAAACATGGAAAAACGATGATCAAAGTTCAGGGCAGTTGAACGAGAATTTGATGGGATCAAATTGGTGATTTAACCAACAAACATGGGGTATAAAGCCAGCACAAATCAACCACAATGGTCTAACGGGCTATGGCGATGAACTAAACTTGGGGTTTTTAACAAAGCCGTGCCGCCAAGCCTAAACCATAGACCGGATCTATTTTTAAAGCAATCTTTGGCTGGGTGTTGTTTTTAAGAATTGAACTATTGGGGCAATACTTTTTTTTTGGCAGTACCCTCTGGTAATTTAACATAGCTATTGAATATGGCCATTTATAGTGGATTTTGCCATGAAAAATGGGGATTTTCCATGCTATGTTAGTTCACCAGAGGGTACCCCCCCAAAAAGGCTGGCTTAATCCCCATAGCCCATCCAAATCTCCAAGATCTCTGGAAAGCCCTGATCATCACTGGCTTAGCCGTTACAGTGTTGTGACTGAGAGGTGAGAGCTTACAAACTGCAGGGCAAGCTTGCGGATGCTCAGCAATGGATTTGGGATGATTTTGGTATCCTCTCCTGCTAGCCATCAGTGTAGAGAAATCAGTTGTTCTTTTCATAGTTTTTGCAGTGCTCCATCACATTTCCTGTAGCTGCAGCTTGCTGCTCTGCTTCGAGACATCGCAACGGCAAAGGGTCCATGTCAATGCAGTCATCCTTCCAATGACATGACACCGAGACTTCAGTGTGCTTCGCGTCATTTGATCGGTACCCAGCATGACCTGAGGACATGGGCTTAAATCCTGGCAAACTTCAAATTTCGCGGCAGGACTGCTGCATCGTGCAGCTCCACCCTGTTGTGTTGTGGCTGCGGTAATCGGTATGGAAACGGTATGGAAACGGTATGGAAACGGTATGGAAACGGTATTGAAACGGCATGGAGTGGAAACCATTGTCATTTTTTGTCAGCCATACAGACTTGGGGCAGTGATTGAGGGGCTGATTAGCCACTACTTATCACTACTTGGTAAATTCTTCATTTGGCTACAAGACCATCAAACACCATCACATATCATCAAATGGTACAGATTTTTGAGCCAAATCCAGCCTGTATCGGAAGATTCAGAAGGTGCCATGTGTTGGTGCCCCAAGAATCCCGGGTTTCCCCACCATTGCCCAGTGCACAGCTTCGCTATGGCCGCTATGGCCACCCCAGGACTTGATGAACTCGGCGAAAGTGCAGGAACTCATCAAGATCTTGGAAGGCCAGAAGTTCGCCCAATGCTCGGGCAAAGTGGCAGAAACACATATGGATAATATATGTGATGCTGGTGATGCTGGGCAAGATATAGAGTTTTGTTTTACATGCGCTTTCTTTTTTGAATGAATTGTGACAGAAGCGGCGATATGCTCGATTTACAAGATACATTATTGTGCGTGGATGGTTCTAAGAGGTTGGTTCTGTTTGGTGAAGATTTCAGAAACGAACAATGGCACAGCTATTGAACAGTTTCAGGGCACATGGCGCAGAACACTACAGGACAGCGCGCTGAGAATCAGAAGACTCTCGTTTTCTCGCAGTTCACCATGCGACTCGTCGGCAGCTGCAGTTGGAGCCTGACTGGTTTCGAGACCGCAATTCCTATTGGAATATTTGGAATGCGCAGACAGATACAAGATGATACAAGCACATTGAAGCTCAATGAGATTTTCGATTCTCAGTAACCTCTAATCTTGTATCTACAGAGGTATCCGAAACCATAGGCTTTTGTTCAAGGTGAAAAACCATCAAACCAGACGCATAGGAGACTAGTGCCACCCACGGAATGTTTTTTTTGTTTTATAGGACCTTCTAATTAGATCCAACTAAATCTCAGATCAGTTTTCCCAGGATCCTGAAGATGATGTTCACCTCATTTCCATTCATTTCCAGGTTTCAAACATTCTTTTAGGGTCGTCATGAGAGGAGTGGAAGGACAGGTGAAGACTGTCGCCAGGTTATGTGTGTTGATTGACCACCCAACTGCATAATTATGAGGTTAATTGATTGTCAAGGTATGTCAAGGTTATCTGTTGTCAATAAGACCAATAACTTGTTATGAGGTATAACTACTTGCTATCTGATCACCTAATCTTCAGGATGACAAGTTTCCAGTGTTTCTCCAGTATTTCAACGGATTGGACCCTAGATTTGGCAGGGGTTTCAGACAAAAATAGCTGTGAGTGGGGCGAAAACAAATTCCAAGCAGACCAATAGACCCCCCAGGCTGATTTGATGCCAGGTATTTGGACGTGATCCAACATGCCTTGAGCATCAACGATCTGCCCTTCGCTCGCTTGGATGGCACATGTAGCTTGGAAGATCGACAGAGCAACATCGATCTCTTCCAGAAACCAGGCAGGACGGGTGGTTGGAATCGGAGTCGCAAATTGCTGGTTCAATGAAGCACTCATTTTTCATTCAGAGGCATCATTTCTTCGTTAAATACATCAAAATCATGTTAAGTCATGTTGAAACTAGAAGAAGAAGACTTTGAAGCGCGCAGCAGCCAAAATTGAATACTGCACGTGAATCATGTTGAAACTGACTGAAATTCCAACCCTGATGTGCTTTTCAAGGCTCGGGAGTTGATATTTTTCTCCTCTCGATGAAGGCAGGTGGAAACTTGGCAGAGGCTTTGATAATCTTTGATTGATCCACGATAATTTCCATGGTGACAGCAGTCAGCAGCTCTGGGCTTTGCGTTTTCGACCTTCCGACACGACATTTTATACTCGTAGATGCTGTAATGTTTCAATACTATGATACTGTCTGCGCTGATTCCTACACATGTTTTGCACATGTTCTAATCTCAAACTGTCTACTGTAAATCTCCTTTCTTCATTTGGATCCCATCCCCAATTAGACCATGCAAAGTACCGCTTCTCGTGTAAGGAACAGGGCTGAATCTCACAGCTGCAAATCGAGTGATTCTCATGGAACTTCAGCTGCATATTGGGAAGGTGTAGTGTAGTGAGTTTCTTCCTCTTTCTAAGGTAGTTAAACTATTACCTCAAAAGCAAGTGGTTTAGAACAGACTCATCATTTCTCAATACGTCCACCCAATCGTAATTTTGACTGAGGATAGACTCACCATTTCATTTCTGAACGAACGTAATTTCACTAACTCCGCACAATAAAAACATTATGATTCAGCTCCTTAAAATTCATGGGGTAAACCATGGTTTCCCCCCAAGACAATTCCTTACCCCAAAATTCAATGTGGAACCTGAAAAGGGGGTCGTGACCGATCATTTTTTCTAAATGTGAAAACCTTTGCAATCCAGGAGACCGGCCAGTTATAACTATAGAATTCCCGGGAATTTCCCTTACATACAATAAACCTATATAGTAGAACTAATATGTACAATATACATAGATAATATATAATAATATGATATGATATAAATATATATATGCATACAACACACGTATATAATTGTGTATATATATATATATACATACATACATGAAACACTTATATACACCTTATCCATAACATTCCATAACTTGTTTAAATCATATATACATAACACACACCCACATGCACCGGGAACTTTTCGCAACAAACAACTTGTTTCACTGGTGTTTTTTTTCAATTTCCAGTCAATGGTTTCTCAACTGACACGGGAAAAAGAATGACATTTGGCAGACAAAAAGCAATGGAAGTTGTTCGTTTCTGTCAATTTTCCAGTATATGGGTATGGGTCAATACCTATAGATACATTTTTAGTGGGTTATTCACATCCATAAATCCCAGCTATTTTGGGGTTCACTAGGTACCAGGGTTTTGACCCATCCCCATATTTTACAGACAACTCCAGGACCTCTCGTGGAATCCTCAAGACAACCGGCAAGCCGAAGACCGTGCGCACCGCCTCGGCCAGCAGCAGAGTGTCAGCGTGACGTATCTGACCACGGCGGTGCCTCGGCGAAACGAAACCGCCGCAGGCCGAGCTAACCGCCGTGCCGAAAGCGGTGGAAAAAAATGGTGATTTTATGATGAAACATGGGGATTTGATGTGATATAAATCAGGATTCTGAATGAAATATGTATATATCATTATATATATATATGATTATATATCGATCTAAGTATGTCTAATTCGTGGGATTCATGGTTTAAGAAACACCAAAACTATAGGCTATAGATGGACATTTATCAACCTACCCAGGCAAGACATTTCATTTTTTTTGGCAGGGTATCTATCAATCATCAAAAAAAGGGTATAACGGGTATATATAACGAGTAAGATTGTGTGTGTGTGTGTTTTTTTTTTAACCGGGGAGTTTACCAATCAAATTGGTGAATATTTCCGGTACTTCTCTAGTTGGCGGTTTGTTCATGTTTCTTAACTTTCATCTAATACCCAGGATGATTTCAATTTTTCACAGTTTTGGTGACTGAGACCACTGACCAGTTGATTTTCTGTGCTGAGGATACCATTGAGGAGAGCATTGTGAAATGCAACGTCTCCAAGATGGAACTGGACTACAAGTTTGGAGGGCAGAATCTTGGCTCAGCAGACTGCCTGGCCAGTCTGGATTGCAGATTTGTGTCATTGTACTGCATTTTTTTCTGCAATGCAAAAAAGCGTGCTGATTTAGAGAGATTGGGAGTAAATCCACCGGTATGATGGCCACTGGAACATGTGATATTGGAATGGCTGAGTGAATTTGTGATGATGCTGACTTCTTCACAGGCGCGAAGGTATCAAGATATATCAAGATTATTCTTGGATATGCATAAACTTTTGCCTCCCTGTTTTTAGACTGCAGCTCCTGAATGAAAGGAAAAGTGCTTTGGGCACCTCTGCCTTCGACGAATCTGAAAGTGATGGGGAAGCTGAAAAGCCAAAGAAGCAGGACCTGGGCGGACTATGAATAGCTGAATTCACAGAATTCTGGGCCAAAAAATGACCAGGATGTTGGGAAGAACAACTTGCCTGTTGGTTCCCTGTGCTCCCAACTTGCCGACCGGTCCCGTGGTCCCTTGGCTCTGCAGGACCAGGAAGCAGAACTTTGTGCTGAATTGGGCAAAGAACTGGGCATTTTGGCATGAGATCTGGCGGTGAACCCATGAATCAACTGGTGTGGAGTTTGGATGTTGTGCCATGGGTTGAGAAGTCAACTACCCTCTGGTAATTTAACATAGCTATTGAAAATGGCCATTTATAGTGAGTTTTCCCGTTAAAAATGGTGATTTTCCATTGCTATGTTAGTTTACCAGAGGGTATTTCAGATTCACCAGGCAAAAATATGGTAAACCATTGATTGTATCAAACTTCAAACATCAGTGGTTCCTTTCTTTCACGGAAGGATTGTTTCACTTTAGATGCTCTTGACATCTCTGTGCCAGCGCGAGTCTCATCCAGTCAGCTTTTTTTGGGTACGAGCGGCGGACTGTGGTGTTCATTGTTGTCTCTGTACAGCCACCCGTCTTTGGAGGGCCAGCAGGTGTTCACCCAGGGCTGAGATATGGAGACGACCCTCGGTTTCCGGACCCGATGCTAGCTGTTTGATGTTGGTTTGCCCTGACAAAGCCTGACATACTTGGGTATTCTATGGTATTCTCTTCTGAATCACAGAAGTGTAGGTGTCAGATCGTCCGAGTTTTCAGTTTTTTTTTTTTTTAGGCGCTGATACCTTCGGAAAACCATCCGCAATAGCTTGAACTAAAAACCCGGGGCAAATGCCTGTCCCTCCAGGCCTTGTCACAGCGCAGTGATGTGACAGTTCATGGGGATGCAAGGAGGGAGGTCTGGAAATTCAATTGATTGTTGTCCTCTATGAAGTTCTAATTGTGCCTTACTACTGTACTCGTAGTACCGTGTACTCGTTTTTTACCGTCCCAAACTAATCCAAATGAGTCGTTTTGCCTCCTCAACTTGTGAACGATTAGCCTGAATCCGGGAGAACATACTGCAGCTGTTCGCAGCAGTGTCACGTGCCCCATGGATTCAGCGGTTAGCGTCATCCTCTTCACCTCCAATGGGCGTGAATGATGCGAATCGAAAAGGGTCGCCTCTGCTAAGGCGAAGGTGGTGGACATGGGCTACCAATCCACATTTGGATCTGTTTGGATGATTTTAGATGCATAGATAGATAACGATATATATATATATATATCTATATATATGGATACAGCTAATTATGGATCAAAACCTGTCCTTTTGGTTCACACAAAAAACCGCTGGTGTCTATGGACCTTAAATGACGTTAATCACATTTCATCAGCTCCATTCCATTCCCATCCGGAGCCCATGCAGGTGGTGGCCATAAAGAGAATCAAACTGAATCCCGATGATGACGAGGGAATTCCGCCGGGGGACCTGACGAAAGGCGAGACAGGAAGGGAGTGCTGTAGACTTCTTTGACGTGTCTATTTGACTAGTAGAATAATGTAGAATACTGAATTGCAATGAAACTACATACAGTATGCATATACATATGCATATATATATACACATGCATATAACTATATAACTGTATATGTATATAATAGCCTCAAGAGGGTTTGAAGAATAGTGCATGATCGGTTTCGATCTGTGGCTTCAGCAGCGTTCTTTCGGAATTGGCAGACCAGTGATAGCAGTGATGCACTCACGACAATCGAAAGCTGGTGTGTGTGATAAACATGAAGAGCATGACAACTATGCAGCAATAGTATTGCAGAGGAACACATATTCATATTGCATATATTGCACATATTGCCAGGTGAGCCAGCAAATAAGCATGGAAACCATGGGAAGCCAAATTTCGACTAAGGAGCACGGCTTTGCGCGAAGTGGCAGTGCTCAAGGATCCGCCATTTGTTGGGATTTGCTACAACTGGACCTTGAAATGTTCCCAGCCAAGTACGATCTTCCAAGCAAGACCAGTTGTATCTCCATGACATGATCCAAGCTGTAGGAGTTAGATAGTGAATTTGTAGTGAAGCTCTTTGAGGCGGGCTCCGCCGTTGGGAGTTGTCCGACAGTTCGCAAAGATTGGTTGGTTGAAAGAACTAAATATAACATAATAGAACTGTTGGGTCTATGGTGGATCTGGTGGTAGATATGTAGTAGATGTAGTGGTAGATATATTAAACATTATTAAACAAACTGGTTCATAAGGGTGAAACTAAACCCACAAGATTGGGGGGCGCCAGCCATAGCCAGGTGTTTTGTTCACCACATAAGCTCGTGATGGTCTTCGAGCTTATGGAAAATGATTTGCGAAAGCCGCTGCAGCTGCAAGTTGTGATGTGGCGATGCAGGGAGTGAAGATTTAGGGTCCACTCGAAAACATGGGGGGATGATTTCTGCTGAACATTTTTGGATCACCAGAGGAACAAAACCAGGAGTGGTGAAGAATTTCAGACACATCATAACTTGCACGACCGTGATGAATAGCTGTGTGTATGATGCCTGCTACAAAAGGTGAATCTTTGGCATTGGCCCTTACTGACTGCTTGAAAATGATATGAGGCCTGAGGGTCTCTGATTCTTGTAAAGGTTTCCAGATTCCATATACCCCGAATGCGTCTCATGATTCTTCAGAGATGTTTTTTGTTCACCTAGGGCACCCCTCGACAGTGGACTGACTCAGTATCGTAAGGTACATGAAGTCAGTGCGAGGTCAACTCCAACCGTCAGGGAACCCAACGCATGCTGTCACTGGGTTTGTCTGAACACTGGGTACCACTATGTCTCACTCAATTCATGGGTCAATCAGCTTCAATCAGCATTTTCGCTACATTTTCGCTCAGGAAAGACATCAGGAACCTGTGTTGGCAGCTGGTCAAAGGACTGGATGTATGTCATGCAACTTGGCATATCTTGGCATCTGTTCTCTTGGAGTATCAAAGAGTTGAGACTCCCATACCACGGCAACCTCAAAAATGTGTTGGGCCATCAAAAGACTGGCCAAACACGAGCAACAACTCAGGCAAGGAGAATCATCCATAGAGATATCAAGTGGGATCCTTAGAAAAGCAGTTACAGATTCTTCGGGCTGAGACCCGAATTTGATGACTTGATCATCATGTTGTAAAAGCAAGAATTAATGGCTTATCAATCTTTATCATGATCCAATCCAATATGGCTCAGATTTATCGATTTATCACAAACCCAGCTGTCCATATTTTTCCCAAACGAGTAGATGGTTGGTACACTGGTACACTTCACCTTCTCATTTGTTTTTCTGCAGATCCCCAAGGACCATAGGGATCAAAAAAAAATTGAACATCTTAAATGGTAGGCCCCAGAACCTGTTGATCGACAACGACCTGCACTTGAAGTTGGCGGACTTTGGTCTGGCTAGAGCCTTCGTGGTGGGGCGCCGAGCAGCCGAGCCTGGCGGATTTTCGCCGCAGTGCCGCAGCTTCGCCACGCTACTCAGGTGCCAATCCCAAAGTACACCCACGAGGCAGCGCTTGAAGTTGAACTGGATGGCTTTGATACTGATAGATCTGGGATTGAAATCTCATGTTGTAGATATATGTAACATATGTAGATACAAGATCAATCAAGATCAACAGGAGGATCCATATTTTTGCACAGTTCAAACATGTTAAAACAACACGTCACAGGGGTGACCGAGGTGGTGACGGTTTGGTATCGCGCTCCGGAGATTCTGTTGGGATCTGTTGGGCTTCTCAGTGCTGGTTTTCGCTCTTCTGAGGGCGAAACATGGTCCAACGATTTGTGACAAAGATGCTGAGTATTGATGATTTTTGGATATTTTGGGGGTATAGAATAGAATATAATTATAATATATATATATGTGTATTGTGTATATATATATATATATGTTGAACGCTTGAAGATGCTTGAAGCATACCATACCCCTTTCTGAAAACATCCGGTTTGTTGATGTCTGTGGAATGCTCCCACCCTGGATGGTCACCAGCTATTTTGCTCTGAAACCCCAGGTGCACGGGTTTGATGATTTTCTTTGCCGCCTGTCAACGAACGTTTAGACATGGAAAAGCGGATGAATAAATGGCCTTACCCAGAGGTGTCCCTGTGAAATATGGAACTTGTTTATGGTGATGGATGGTAGGGCCGATGATTAAATCCCCATTGACAGGATTGCACTGATACTGATGCTCACATACTGATTTCATCGATCCCCATTCAATGATTTCATCACATTTCATCCAAATTCAACCAGCCACCCCTAAAAATACCACCCCCCTGGGCTCAGCAACGGTTGTGGTTGGTGTTTTTTTTCCTGCCCAAATCATGAGACCTTCGCTCAGAGCGCCTACAGCATTGGCGTGGACATGTGGGCTGTGGGCTGCGTCTTTGCAGAGATGGCAACAGGCGGCAGTGAATCCGAAGTCGTGCAAAAAGACGTTGCAAGGAGATGGGGCCTTTAGACGAAGTGAGGGTTTCTAAAGTCATGGGGGAACCCCAAGTCACCATACCCTCTGGTAATTTAACATAACTATGGAAAATCACCATTTTTAATGGGAAAATCCACTATTAATGGTCATTTTCAATAGCTATGTTAAATTACCAGAGGGTAATTCTTTCAATACTAACATGGTCGAAGCTCCAAGTCATGATCGAATGATGTGACAATTGGATTACATGCTGCATTTTGTCAGGAAGCCTTTCCATACCGAGCCGAAAAAAAAGGCCTTTTGCGAAAGACCGTTTCAGCTGACGCAGGGAATCCACTCTTTGGTGGAGATTCAGAGATTGATACGATCTTCAAGGCCGAGCAAACGATGGTCTTGGGTGTGCAGTTGGGGAGTTATAAGTTGATATCATGTACAGATGATTATATATGATTACGTATATATACGTATATAATTATACATATACGATATATACGTATATATAATTTCCTATATCTAATTATATATACGTATATCCAATTATATATGTATACATCATTATTATATATATATATAATTATACTATAGTATATATATATCATTATAATATATATATATATATATAATTATTATATATAAGTATAATATATAAGTATAACATATAAGTATGATATACAATTACTGGCACAATATATAAATATAATATATTATAATTATAATATATATATATCATCATATACATGTATATACATATTTATAAACGATAGTTTATCGGGCTACAAAGGGCTTATTCCCAACTTATGGAGGTTATTCAGCCTCGTTTTGTTTCCCATGGCCCGCCGAGATCTTTCAGAAGCTGGGCACGCCCAACGAGGAAATGTGGCCAGGTCTTCATGAGTTACCCAAGCTGGTGTGCCCAGTGGCGAAAAGCGGCCGTTCGACCAAAAAAATCGCTAAAAGGAAAGGGAGAAATCTAGCACTGATTAGTGATTACATATAAATAATTACGTAATATATATATATATATGTATATATCTATCTACCTATATATATGTATATATCTATCTACCTATATATATATATATATATTCATATATATATATATATACAGTACCTATATATATATACGACATGATCCTTTGGACGCACGTTCTCTCAGTTTGAGTGGAATGTCTCTCGGTGATGTTGTGGCTATAGACATGACAAGAACACTATCTCTTTGACAAAACTGAGGCTTATTGTAGTTCTCAGTCCTGCATATACAATCTAAGCTTGCCCTCATGAATGTCCTGCTCCCTTAGACTCATTTAGATCCTGCAAGCAGACCCGAGTAACAAAATTTGGGTTTCCCTTCATCCCATACCTCGCGAATCTCAGTTTGCACGAATTTGACATTCACTGTGTCCCAGTCGTATCAGCAGTTTTTTTCAGTAGGTGCATTGTCTAGGATGAATAATCTATATCATGTAATCCCAACAGCAGAAAACTGTTGGGTTTCAATCTCTAGAAGCAGAGGGTGGTATCACGACTTTATCCTTGCCAATGTGGATGCGGGGTTCCGGGCACCTTGGAACCTTGTCTCCCAGCTATCTCCCTATCAAATTATTATTTCTTTATCGTCTCCCAATTGTGTCTCAATTGCCTCCCGCTTTCCTCCAACTTGTCTCGTACTTGTCTTCCACTCCCCAACAGTTCGGAATAGCAGAAAGCTGTTGGGTTTAAAGCTCTTGAAGCAGGCGGGTGGTATCGCTACTTCTCCCTTCTTCTTCCCCTTCGGGGAAATTTGGAACCTTGATGAACCTTGTCTCCCATGTGTCTCCCACTTTGTCTCCCTCTTTGTGTGTTTCGCCTTATGTCTCTCACTTTTGTTTCCCACTCTCTGTCTCCCACTTTGTCCCTTACTTTGTCGCAAACTCAGTCTCACTGTATCGCGCCCACTTGGTCTGTCATACCGTCTCCACACTGACAGTTAAAATGTGGCCCAAGCATGGACGCTACTTGGGAAACTTCTCACCTTGAATTTGACACCCCCACTGCTGTTGGGTTGGAAAACCGGGTTAATGTACATACATTGTATGAGATTCCAAAAGATTTCATTTCCCAACACTCCTGGACATTTTCGACATTTCTCGACTCATCGTGGCTCAGTTTCAAGCTGAAGTTCCCTTGCTGGACGGCAAAAGGCGCGACACCGTGAGACTGGGATTTGGAGGAATACCTTCGTCTCCACTTCTTGCAGATATCCAAGGCGTCCAAGACCCTCGGAAACGTGAAATCTGGGTGAGTTCACCCAAAGTATCCCAAAACTCATTGGATATGTATATATATAATATATATAATATTTATGTCTATGTATATATATACATATAATATAATATAATATAAAATATAATATAATATAAAATATAATATAAAATATAATATAAAATATAATATAAAATATAATATAATATATAATATACTATAATATAATATAATATATAATATAATATAATATAATATAATATAATATATGGTGTTTTTATCATGTCATAGTTGAGTAGTTGCTATATAGGTTCGACCCCAATAACCCCCGATCGATACCCTTCCACTCCGACGCCCTCCACGACAGCTTCTGCCCGCAAAATGGTTGAAGACTACTTTGGAGTTTTTTGTCAGAGATGTGCACGAAACACTGTAAAGCGATAGGGCCCCCCCCGAAAGCGATAACCTGGGACCATACACGACAGTTCATTAAACTTGGCGTAAACCAAGCATATACAGTTGTGCACATTCACAGAACAGGCAAAACCGATGAGGGAAATTCAACCTGTGGTGCCTGTGTTTCCTGCAGTTACCATAGCATTTGGCATCCAACTTGCTCTCTCTCTCTCTCTCTCCCGCTCTCTCTCTCTCTCTCTCTCTCGGTCTGTCGTTTTGTGGCAAATTTCCTTCGAACAATGTCATATGTTGGAGGGGTTCCCTGGCCAAGCCAGAAAGCCATCTCCATAACTTTAGAAAGGAAATGAAAGGACATGAATGCAAAATGAAAGGAACCTGCGTGCACATGAAAGGAAGATGAGAGGACATGAATGCACATTGGAATGAACATGAAAGGAATATGAAAGGAAAATGAATGGAAATGAATACCAATGAAAGGAAATGAAAGGAAATGAAAGGAAATGAATGCACAATGAAAGGAAGATGCATGCAAATGAAAGGAAAATGACGGAACATGCATGCAAATGAATGCAACACCAAAGGAACATGAAGTGTTGCCGAAACACCTGAAACCAACAAAACAACTGATCGATCCATTTCCGAGCTGTTTAGGAATGGATTTTGGCTTCATGTTGGATCTCGAATATGCTGATTTCCACAAAACCCTGGAAAGCGATAGGCCCCCCCAAAAGCGATAACCATAACAATAGCAACTACTCAGATGTAAAGGATTTTGACGGGAACTCATATATATTATAACTTACATAATTATAATTTCCTCCTTGTTTTTCTTTTTGAAAAGAACATATGATTTCTACCTTTTACCTCAATTGTCCCCAAGGACTTCAATCTGGAACCGTGCGGCAGGCTGGGACAAGATCCGCAATACCAAGGCGCAGGTGCCACCGAGGGACTGGCTGGGATAGGAGATGACGACATGTGGCAAATATCTGCATATTATAATTCTAGATATAGATGATATTTGTCAATATTTAGATATAGACATAGACGATATAGATATAGAATGATCATGAATGATCTAGATATAGAATGATCTATCTATCTATCTATCTATCTAACTATCTATCTATCTATCTTTCTTTCTATCTATCTATCTATCTTTCTTTCTATCTATCTATCTATCTATCGATCTATCGATCTATCCATCGATCGATCGATCTATCTATCTATCTATCTATCTATCTATCGATCTATCCATCGATCGATCGATCCATCGATCTATCTATCTATCTATCTATCTATCTATTTATCTAATCTATCTAATCTCTCTATCTATCTAATCTATCTAATCTATCTATTCTATCTAATCTATCTAATCTATCTAACCTATCTAATCTGTCTAATCTGTCTAATCTATCTAATCTATCTAATCTATCTAATCTAATCTATCTAATCTATCTAATCTAATCTATCTAATCTATCTAATCTATCTAATCTATCTAATCTATCTAATCTATCTAATCTATCCAATCTATCTAATCTATCTAATCTATCTAATCTATCTAATCTATCTAATCTATTCTATCTAATCTATCAATTCTATCTATCTATCTATCTATCTATTCTTATCTATTCTTATCTATTCTTATCTATCTATCTATTCTAATCTATTCTAATCTATCTATCTATCTATCTATCTATCTATCTATTCTATCTATTCTTATCTATTCTTATCTATCTATCTATCTATCTATCTATCTATCTCTCTATTCTTATCTATTCTTATCTATTCTTATCTATTCTTATCTATTCTTATCTATTCTTATCTATCTATCTATCTATTCTTATCTATCTATCTATCTATCTATTCTTATCTATCTATCTATCTATCTATTCTTATCTATCTATCTATCTATTCTTATCTATTCTTATCTATCTATCTATCTATCTATTCTTATCTATTCTTATCTATCTATCTATCTATTCTTATCTATCTATCTATCTATCTATCTATTCTTATCTATTCTTAT